ACCCGGCTGTACTTCGTTTCTTATCAGACTTTCCTTGGGGTAGTGATTGTCTGAATGTTTTGTTTAAGGCTTCTATGCTCTTACCATTAAATCCTCCTCCCAAATGCTTTGCCAGAACTTCGAGGCTCCATTCATTCAAACTCATCAGATAATACATCTATTTTATTTTTTCTTGGAAATGTCCCTCCTATGCCAATCTCACTAGACCAACTGCACAGCTGCTCTGGGAGTTCTCTTCTTCACCATCCTGGGAATTTTCTTTACTTCTTTGTGTGAGTCCCCTTTGTCCTGGATTCCACGTTTGTTTTTTTCCCCTCACTTAGGTAGAATATGTCCTCCAGTAGCTTTCTGACAAAGAGTGTGATGAAGGTGAAAATTTTTTGAGATCTTGCATGTCTGAAATATCTTTTTTCGTTTGTTTTTTTAAAAGATGAGGTCCTGCTCAGGCTGGAATGCAGTGGCTATTCACAGGCACCAGCATAGCCACTGCAGCCTCAAACTCCTGGCCTTAAGCAATCCTCCTGTTGCACCCTCCTTCGTGAAAGACATCTTTATTTGATCTTATTTGATTAATGTGACAATTTGCCTGGGTATATAATTCTAGGTTGGAATCCATTTTTCCTTAGAACCATGACTTGTTGTCTCGCTTCTGTGTTATTGCTGAGAAGTCTAAGGAAATCCTTACTTACAAAAGTACACAACTGTATACCTTTATGTATGCCTTGATTTTTATTATTGCTTTTAGAAGCTTTGGGGATCTTCTATCTTCGATGTTTTGAAAATGCAAGTGATATGCCATGCTTTGATGTGAATATTCACTCATTGTGCTAGACAGAGGGCCCTTTTTTTTTTTTAATTTTTTTAAAGACAGGGTTTCACCATGTTGGTCAGGCTGGTCCTGAACTCACGACCTCAGGTGATCCACCCGCCTTGGCCTCCAAAGTGCTTGGATTACAAGCGTGAGCCACCACGCCCGGCCAGCCCTTTCAATTTAAAAACTCTTACCCTCAGTTCTGGAATTTTTTTTGCTTTATTTTTCATGCATTACACATTATATCTTCCACCTGAACACACACACGTACCCCACTCCTTAGCATTCCCACCATATAGCTAGAATACACATAAATAATCTCAAGAGCATAGATAATAATAAAATGTAGAAAAATAATTTGGGGCTGGGTGCAGTGGCTCAGGCTCGTGCTTGTAATCTCAGCATTTTGGGAGGCCAAGGCGGGCAGATCACCTGAGGTCAGGAGTTGGAGAACAGACTGGCCAACATGGTGAAACCCTGTCTCTACTGAAAATACGAAAATTAGCCAAGCATGGTGGCAGGTGCCTGTAATCACAGATACTCAGGAGGCTGAGGCAGGAGAATGGCTTGAACCTGGGAGGCAGAGGTTGCAATGACCTGAGATCGTGCCACTGCACTCCAGCCTGGGCAACAACAGCAAAGCTCCGCCTCCAAAAATAAATAAATAAATAATTTGGAAGTAATGAGTTTTGAGTATTTATTTTGGTTTTTAATATAATTGATTTAATTGTAACTTTACATAATAATTTAACGGTGACAGTGTTTTATTTATTACTATTATTATTTTTTGAGATGGAGTCTCACTCTGCTGCCCAGGCTGGAGTGCAGTGTCACAATCTTGGCTCACTGCAATGTCTACTTCCCGGATTCAAGCAATTATCTGCCTCAGCCTCCGGAGTAGCTGGGATTACAGACACTCGCCACCACGCCCAGCTAATTTTTGTATTTTTTTTTTTTTTTTTTTGAGACGGAGTTTCACTCTTGTTACCCAGGCTGGAGTGCAATGGCGCGATCTCGGCTCACCGCAACCTCCGCCTCCTGGGTTCAGGCAATTCTCCTGCCTCAACCTCCTCAGTAGCTGGGATTACAGGCACGTGCCACCATGCCCAGCTAATTTTTTGTATTTTTAGTAGAGACGGGGTTTCACCATGTTGACCAGGATGGTCTCGATCTGCTGACCTCGTGATCCACCCGCCTCGGCCTCCCAAAGTGCTGGGATTACAGGCTTGAGCCACCGCCCCCAGCCTAATTTTTGTATTTTTAGTAGAAATGGGGTTTCATCATCATGGCCAGGCTGATCTTGAACTCCTGACCTCATGGTCTACCCACCTCGGCCTCCCAAAGTGTTGGGATTACAGGCGTGAGCCACTACGCCCAGCCTATTTATTTTTTTTATGGTGAAAAGATAGACATATATTTAGAATTAGCCAGCTGGACTCAGTTTAGATGATCCCAATTTTGTTGGCAACATCCAAAGCATCGTAATCAGGAATCACTGAACATAGACCTTCTTCTATCCATCAGGCGGAATCAGGGTGTTGACCTTGGCCACATCCATGTCATAGAGCTTCTTTTCCCAGCCTGTTTGATCTGGTGCTTGTTGGCTTTAACATCCACAATGAACACAGTGTGTTGTCTTCTATCTTCTTCATGGCAGACTCAGTGGTCAGCGGAAACTTGACACCATAGTGGTCAAGCTTGTTTCTCCTGGGAGCGCTCTTTGGAGGATATTTGGGCTGCCTCCGGAGTCAAATTGTCTTGGGCCACTGGAAGATAGGTGATGTGTGGATCTTCTTTTTTTTTGTGGCCGTGGATACCTTTCAACACTGCCTTCTTGGCCTTTAAAGCCTTTGCTTTGGCTTCGCTTTAGGAAGAGCAGGGGCTTCCTTCTTCACTTTCAGCGCCATCTTGTGAAAAGAGACTGTTTTAACAACTGGCTTTTAAAATTCCTAAAAATTCAACAGTTGGTTTGTGCAACCTGGTATGAGCCAGCTCTTGTAAACAATTGCTTTGAAATAATCATGGTCTCTAATATAATAAAAGCAAATTGGAATAATCTTCCAAATGCAGTTGATCATGTCACTCCCTTGAGTAAAGCTCTCCATTGTTTCTCTGCTTACTGAAACCCTCAAGACTCAATTCACATTCCACCTTAG